TGGTCAAATATTCCTGACCCCAGGCCCCTCCCTTGAATTTACTATTTTTAAATATTTACTGGCTTGTAGGCTAATTCATGAAGGTTCATGCATGTTAAGAGATTCATGTGAAGTACTTTGTTTGTATCAATATTTTAAAAAGGGATACAATAGAGAAGCAGCAATATGGAGCTATATGTGAAGGTATTTCCTATATCCCTTCGAACTTCATTCGATGGGATAATTAGTGGCCAATGAGAAAACAGCCCTTTCTTTTTTTTTATTTTTTTTTTTTTATACATTATCAATTTATTTCATCATAATCATGTTTTACAAGAATGGCTTGCCAATCGCTTATAAAGCATTATAGGCTAAGCTAGAAAATACATAAATTTAATTACAAATGTAAATGCATGTAATATGGAAGAATAGCAGCAATTTGGATAAGAAATGGGAAATAGGACAGGCTGGGGTCATGTGTCATAGTCTCAGTGAGGGAATAGTAGGCATAGTTAATACTTGCTTGGAGGGTCCCATAGAGAATTATGATTATGTTAAGAGTTCTCCAGTAAAAAATTGGCAACAAGAGCAAAAAGTTCATTATTTTGTGCCAGCGATAAATCTTCACTGCCATGTTTCAGAAAATCTATAAATTGGCTTTTGTTCCTTATAGCTAAAGGCTTGTAAGTAAGTAAGAAAAGTGTTCCTATTTTGTGCTTTATTTGGACAATAAAAGAATAAATGTTTTGGAGTTTCAGGCACACCACAAGCGCAGTTTGGTGTTTCAATATAAGTAAAATTATGGCCATATAGCTGAGCTTTAGTGAGCAAGTCAACTCTGAATCTATTGAGAATTATTTCTTGATTTCTTTTTAACTTTAATTTAGTAGTTGGTAAAAAGGAGGGCTTAGGGATTTTATTTTTTTGTAAGTTATTGAAGCTGGTAATTGTTGTGCTTTCTCGAATATACTTTGGTAGCTTATTCCAGTGGGAGATAGCATTGAGGACAGAAGAGTTTCTAAATTTGGTTGAGCTTTTGGCAGGTATTTTGAAATCAGGATTTGATCTGAGTTCTCGGGGATTTTGAATCCTCAGAGGTTCAAAGATATCTTTCACATAGCTTGGAGTGAGATTATTTTTAACTCTAAACATGAATTTATTTATTTGCATTGACCGCCTTGTTTCTAGATCAGGCCATGTGAGTGTATTCTTTACCTTAATTGAACTACTACCATGTAAACATCCACTGCATATAAGAGCAGCTTGATAGAATAATTTATTTAATATGTTAAGGACACTTTGAGTAGAGGAATCGTAGAGTATTGCGCCATATTCAAAGTGTGGTCGAATGAAAGACATGAAAATAGTTTCGAGGACATTGGAATTTAGTTTCTTTTGCAGTGATCTGAGAGGATTCAGGAGCTTGTTTACTTTGTTTCTTATGGCAATTATATGTTGTTTGTTAGACATGTGCTCATCAAAGGTATAGCCTAAATGTTTATGCGATGTTTCCCTTTTTATTAAAGCATTATTCATAAAGGAATTGTTCACTTGGCCAAGTTTAATTCTGGAATTATGAAAAATTATTTCGACACTTTTTTCAGGTTTAAAGTTGAGTTTCCATTTAATAGACCATGATTCAATTCTTTCTATTGCTTGGGTTACTTTGTTATCAATTTCTGAAGGATTTTTAGTACTAAACGGGAAGTATATAGACGTATCATCTGCATATATAAAGCAATCAGTATTCATATTATCGGGTAGGTCGTTTATATATAGTAAGAAGAGAAGGGGACCTAGTATTGATCCTTGTGGCACTCCACTTTTGATAGCATGTGTTTGTGATAAAGATGATGAGGATCCTGAAATGTTCACTCTGACTCTTCTTTCGTAAAGATAGGATTTAAGGAGATTTAGAACTTGTCCCTGCAGACCATATGATTTTGATTTAAGTAGTAGAAGATTGTGAGGTACGCAGTCAAAGGCGGAGGCAATATCAAGAAAAAGAGCTTTAACTCCCTTACCTTGATCAAGATTTGATTGGATAAGATGTTCAATGGCAACAAGTTGGGATTGGGTACTGTGACCCGGCAAAAATCCAGATTGAAATTTGAATAACAGGTCATTTGAAATGAGATGTTGTTTTATTCTGTTTGCAATTATTCTTTCAAAAAGTTTTGATATACAGTCCAAAAGAGTTATAGGTCTATAATTTGACAGGTCTGACTTGTTATTTTTCTTGTGGATTGGGCAAATGCTACCAATCTTCCAAGATTTTGGAAATACGCTTTGCTGTAATAACATGTTAAATAATTTAGTCAAAGGATAAGAGATTGAAGGAGCGGATAAATGGAGCATTTTATTAGTAATGAGATCAGGGCCACAAGCCTTGGATGTGTCTAAACCTAGGATCAATTTCATAACTTCGGATACATCTGTTCTAATCGAAACAAGAAGGGAATTTGTTCGCATTGGAAAGGTGGGTTTGTAATCATCGGGGATATTGTTGTCATATTTATTCACAAAAAAATTAAGAAAGCCATTTGCCTTGTCAGTGTTTGTATTTAAGGTTTTTCCATTTGTATCATAAAGAGCTGGAATACTACTTGAAGTGTTATTTCTCCCTATTAATTTTTGTTACCAATTTCCAAAAGTTTTTATCATTCTTATTTAAGGATTCAACTTTTTGTATGGCATTTTTTTCATGTTGAATTTTAGCTGAGGATATAAGATTTGAAACTTTAAGGGCCTGGTTTCTGTAGAGTTCAAAATTTAAAGGACATGGGTTTTTTTCATTACGTTTATATAACTGTCGTTTTTTATTCATTTCAACCTTTAAATGCTCATTATACCATGGTTGATCATTTGATTTTATTGTTTTAGTGTGATTTGGGATTTTCTCATGATATATACATTTGAGTTTCTCTATGAAATCAGAAGTGCATTTATCCAAATCATTTGAACTTGTCAAGATACTATCCCAGTCAGTTTGTCTAATTTCATTATTTAAATTTGCTATATTTGTTTTGTCATATTGATACAGAGTTCTTTTAAATGGAGGATTCTTTGTAAAGTTGAGATTTAAAGTTGTAAAAAGGGTACCATGATCAGATCTTCCAATAGGAGCATCGATTGACCAAGAATCAATAGAGTTTGGTGAATTTGTAAAGATATGATCGATGCAAGTTTTTGAAGTGCTAGTTATCCGTGTTGGTTTGTCAACTATTTGTATAAAATTATGTGCATCAAGACAGTCTAAAAGTAATTCACCAGCGAGATTTTCATCATTCTGAAACCAAGCTGGATTTTTTGCATTGATGGGGATGAACATGATGGCTTCTAGTAGAATGACGTTTTGAACATGATGGCTTCTAGTAGAATTGGCTGATAGTTTTGACAAAAAAATGAATCAGGAAATGGTGTGGCTTTAATATTGGTTTGTATCTGTTCAACAAAAGTGGAGAATATAGCTGTATGTACGAACATTTTTATGGAATGGGTGCAAATCCACTTTAAACCAGAAAAACAGCAACTCCACGGAGTAGCAAATCCCACCGAACAAAACATGTTTTGATAAATAGCTGCCATATAAAATTTGAGCCAAATCCATCCACTGGTATTTGAATTATCAAAAATTATGTATTTATAAAACATGGTTGCCATTTTGAAATTCAGCTGTCATCTTTCGATTTCTTCTTTAGCAGAGTTCCTATGTCCCAAGGCATCAGCATATACAATTTAATCCAAATCCGTCGACTGGCACTTGAGTTATCAAGGATTACATGTTAATGAAAACTGGCGGAGATTTCAATAAATAGCAGCCACCTTGAAAATTTCTTCTCAAGCAGAGCTCTTTTATCTCTAGGCATCAGTATATAAAATTTGAAGTAAATGGTATTTGAGTAATCAAAATTTTTTAAGCCATTTTGAAATTCAGCTGACGCCTTTGTAATTTCTTATGAAGCAGATCTCCCTTAACATCAGCATATAAAATTGGAACCAAATCCATCCACTGGTATTTGAGTTATCAATGATTACATTTTTTACGAAAAATGGTTGCCATTTTGAAATTCAGTGGCCATCTTGAAAATGTCTTCTTGAGAAGAACTTCTCTGTCTCTAGGTATCAGCATATAGAATTTGAACCAAATCCGTCAACGGGTATTTGAGTTATCAAAGGTTACATTCTTTTATAAAAATTGGCGGCCATTTTGAAATTTAGCTGCCATCTTGAAAATCCCTTCTGGAGCAGAGTGCCTTATGTCCCAAGACATCAGCTTGTAAAATTTGCACCAAAACCATTCAATGGTATTTGAGTTATCAAAGATATGGTGGCCATCTTGAAAATGTCTTCTTGAGCAAGGCTCCTTTGTACCCTTGCAACCAGCATATAAAATTTGAACCAAATCCATCCACTAGTATTTGAGTTATCAAAGATTATATTTTTTCTGAAAAATGGCCGCCATTTTAAATTAAGCGGCCATATCGAAAATCCTTTCTCGAGCAGAGGTCCTACACCCATAAGGCATAAGCCTATAAAATTTGAATGAAATCCATTAACCGATATTTGATTTGGGTTATCAAAGAAAACGATAGGCCACCATTTTGAAATATGTTGGCCATCTTGAAAATGTCTTCTTGAGCAAGGTTCCTCTGTTTCCAGGCAACAGCATATAAAATTCGAACCAAATCCATCCACTAGTATTTGAGTTATCAAAGATTATATTTTTTCGGAAAAATGGCCACCATTTTAATTAAGCTGCCATATTGGCGTTCCTTATATCCCTCCGAAATTCATTCGATGGGATAATTATGATTGTAGGAAGAAACAAGAATCATTTTAGTAAATTTTTCGTAAATTTTTGGGGTCCCTTTTGAATAATATGCGTAAAATACACAAAAAGTAGCTAGCGCGAGCCCTGCTGTACTACACTACCTCAGTAAAAGTTGATGATAAGTTAGCTATAATATTCAGTTTCAGTCCTAATATGTTCATGTATATTTTATAGGAAACTTACTAACCTGTTTAGAGTCTTTATGTTTAGACCCAGATGTTGGCATCTCTTTAGAGTGACCATCAGGAATATAGATGAGGATACAGGGACTAGCTCTACCACTGTGACGACTGTAATACAAATAACATAACACAACAATCATAGAATTCATTTACTGTATTCTCTGTAATTAGCACATGGAGCATTTAGAAAATTGAAAATACATCCTTCAGACCATTCTAATAAGTGCCCATATACTATAAGAAATCAAAAATCCCCAAGAATTTCATGTATGGCAATTTTTTTGCCAAGAATGCCCATGCAAAATCAAAAAGAAGTAACAACATATTTTTACAATAATGATATGTATTGTTATTGGAAAGATTATGGTTAAGATCGCTAAAATAAAGCAAAGATCTTGCAAGATGATATTGACAATGATTGAGGAAATCACCAGCAGAGCCCCTTGAATTTAATCATTCATTCATTATGGACTATTTTGACATACTATTAATTTAGTAGGTTGTAGGAAGCACCCAATGATAGATATTTATCTAAAGAATGCATTGAAGTACAAAATGCGTCAAGTTTTTCTGTTTTGTGTAAGTACTCTTTTATCGCCATTTAGATCCATCAGAATTCCAAACTTTTTTCTCATATATTCACTATTCCTCACTCATTTTTTAATATATCTTGAACTTTGTTGAGCAGGGTAGTTATTTATTAGGAGGTGGGTGGTAAATCAATGTGATGGTAGTATTTGTTTTTTCGAGTTGTAATTGTTGGCTCATTTAATTAACTCCAGAGTGAAAATCTGAACATCTTCAGTAAGGACAATTATTTGGTCAATAATTTGATCTTTTCTGAGCTATCAGAGGGACGTTTCTATGGCACAGCCAGGATTTGATGACCAGGGGTTCTTTTTTATGTTATTCACAAATCCCCTTTCTTTTGGTTCTTATATAAAAGGATTTTTCTGTTTGTACAAAAAATTTACATTCCCTCCAAAGTTTGTCAACCCTAACTCCCAATTGGATAACAAAATAAAGCCTTCTGAATGATAGATCAAAGAATAGACGATTTCAGATTTTGAATTTAAACTTTATTTAACAAAAAATGTATATCTTTCTTTGCATTCAAGGAACTTTTAGGTCTCAAAAGTCAATTTTTTCAAGAAACGTCTCCCCTTGTAACCAAAGGTTGCTAAAAATGATTTTTGAAAGTGAATTTGAAGCCTCATGAGTCGACATTTTTCAACCAGAACAATGGCAACGCAAAAGCTTAGCGAATCCCATCGAACAGCCATGGATGGCATTTTTACAAACAAAGCATATAGCAAAAATGGCAGCCATTTTTCAAAATGGCCACCTTCTACCATAAGTGTCATTAGACAGTGTGCCATGCTTATAGTATTCACATACCAAATATGAACAAAATCGCTCTACTCCTTTTTGAGTTATAGTAAAAAAATATGTTAAAATGGCGGCCATTTTATAAAATGGCCATCTTCTACCAAAAGTGTCATCAGACATTGTGCCATGCTAATAGTATTCACATACCAAATATGAACAAAATTGCTCCACTACTTTTTGAGTAACAGCAAAAATCATAAAATAACGAGTAAAGGCCACCACTTTTCAAGATGGCTGCCATGTGCTTCTTTAATATCTACATTTCTAACTTCATTAATGTCCTACATAATTTTTTTTACATTTAAAACATATTGCTATTACAGTTTTACATATTGCACCTATATTACTGTAAAAGTCAAGTTACATCTGCACCTTTGTCATAAGTATTTTCATTGCAGATGATATAAACAAAAGTTCAAATGTAAACATAGTCCAATGGGTCCTCAAGCCAACATGTGGTGAGATCGTCTAATTTTGGGAAGATCTTGGAGCATGATTTTTAATAAGAACTAAACACACCCCATGTGATGGCTAAATAAATTATACTTTTGCAGGAATTTTGTTGGAAGCAAGTTCGGATCAGATACGAAATTATTGAAAACAGCGCAGACATCCTATACTCAGAGAGATCGATTTTCTATTCGAACTTTTTACAACGTTTACACGAATTAGGCTTTTTAAAATATCCAAGACAGTCTTATTACTAAAAACATATTTTATTTCAAATTCACATCTTGATTATGTTTTGTTTTGAAAAAAATATTAAAATTTCTTGGGAAATTTCAGGAGCTGGTAAGTCCCCCAGAGCAGATTAATTACATGAGATAATCAAAATGTTTTAAATGGTTTATGAAAACTACGTATAGTTCATTTATAAATAATAAGCGACTGCTCGAATATAAAATGTATTTTTTTAAGTCTTACTCAATTCAGGCCTACCATATGAATTTTTAGACTAACCTGCTCCAGGGATTTCCCCAAAAAACATAACGGAGAAGCACCAATTTAAAAGATTGTATGTTTTCATTAGTTTTAAGTCTATTCAAGGTAATTCTTAAGAAGTTTCGTTTAAATTTTGTATAAAGTTTTATAGAAAAGGTATCTTTTAAGGTATAGCCGGGACGTCTGCGTTGTTTTCAATACCTTCCTATTGGACCACAACTGGCTTAAAACAAAATTCCTACAAATGAATGATTGATTTAGCCATTGCTTGAGGTGGGTAATTTTGTCAGAAAAAAGCAGCTTTTAAATTGAAAATAAATCATTGATATATTTCTTTGTAGAATATCATGTTCTGGTTTTCCCAAACTAGACGATCCCACCCTGTGACTAAAGTCTGAAGGTTGCCAAGCTTTTGGAGAGCAGTGTTGAGTACTATACGTAACTTTTTGTTTTCTCTAGTATTCACCTAAACAAATATGAATGTATTTACTGGTCTAATAAACTTTTCAAATTGTACGGTCCATTAATGGTTTTTTGGATATTGATGTGGACCTTTCCAAAAAAAAATTTTTTGGGGAAATCCTGATAGGGGATTCGTTCGAACCCACCGAACCCCCAGTTCCTATGGCTATGCATTTAGTTTAACAGCTTCTCCCTTATTCCTATTTTATCAAAATGTATGGATGTGGGCATATCTATCAACCAGTAGAACTGGCAAATTGTTAAAATTCTTGAATCTATACAAGGGATCCCATTTATGAGATTTTTCAAATTTGAAGTGGAATTACAACCAATACACACCTAATGGGGTTGTTTAAGGATATTAGCCCTGCCCTGCATTGTTTGCTGAATCATACCATGAAGGTTTTGTTTCCAAACTCCAAACCTTTGCATGACCGCGCAGCGGGAATGCAAAGTTTAGGAAACAACGCCTGAGTGGAATGAAGCAGCTACAATGCATTGAGTCTTGGGCTTAAATTCTTTTAACACATTGCAATTTTTTCTTCAAAATCATCCAAAAGGAACGAAATCACTAAAAGAACACATGTTCAATGAAATTTTTTGCAAGGGTCAAGTTGGCAAGTCATCAAATCCAATGTGAAAAGTCCATTCATCAACATGACATTTGTTTAAAGTAACACATTTACGATGTATCTAAAATCTAAAACCTCAACAAGTAATAGATATGACTATATGTTGTATAAAAAGAGATTTAAAAAAGAAATTGTGTCTGAGAGATAAATAAAAAAGAAAAAAACCTTGGTCTCGACCGGGAATCGAACCACCGACAGCTGGATTCATCAAAAGCTATAGTGAGTCCAGCGCCTTACTCCATTAGGCCAAACTGGCAAAATGAAATAATGTAGTAATTCTAAAGCTATGTTATGAATTTTAGAAGACAGTCGAATCACTGCATAAGATTAATAAAAAAAATAGTCAATAATCATTTTAATCAAAACCAGGATTAATGATGTAAATTCAGTTTTCATTTAGATTATCTATTTCCTGTTATGAGTCGTAAAAAAACATGGCTCCGAAAAAATATTTCTTGCATCCAAATTTCAAAACGATATATATCCATGGATCAGTTATTTTTGGCACCTGAACCCATCCTAATAGAAAGGTAAGACTATTTTCTTGAAATCATATCGCTTAAATTGTCGAAATTCGGCCTAGAATCGTCAGAGAGTTACTTTAACTAGTGACCTTGCATGTGTTATTGGTATTTCACACACTGTTCATTATGTGAATACTCTGTTCTGATTGGCTGGAATCGGACACACCTTGCCTAGCTATGTCTGAATTTGGTTTATATCAAAAGCCAATGAGGTGTGTATTAATGATTAACTTTCCTGTTATCTCAAAATCTGCTTGGAACAATATAGTGTGCGCCAAAACTCCAGAAAATCCCATAAAATGATGTTTAGGTAGGTCACTATGAAGTGACCCATAGTCATTATAGTTTGGTTCACTGACTATTTATTTTTACTTGTCTGCAGTAAAAAAGGTGACACGAAAGGGCTAAACGGCTTGCCCCAAGGATCAACCATCAAAAAGATGAGTTTGAAAAAATCACTTTTTTTCAAATAATAGCAGCGAGTATATGAAATAGGAGGAAATTTTGATATTGATATGTTTGATATTCTATTTGGGTGTGGTCATTTTTATCAAAAACAATAATGGTGAAGAATTAAATATTTCTGGCCTTAAAACGCCATTTTAATGTAAAAGTCACCTTTCTTAATAATAATATTCCTATTTTACCTATTCAATGTTTTGTAAGTATTATACTTACCATTATATTCGTTTTTGGCAAAGTAAATAATTATAGGGCTCACACAAGGATCAACTTTATTATAACTTTTTCATATCTAGTGATGTTTTGAAAAAATACTACATTTAACACAATTCTATGTGTTAAATATAAACAAAATAATGATAATGTGTTTGTTTTGTTGTTTCAACTGAAAAATCACAATTCATTGCTCTTGCTCTTAGAGCGGCAGAGGGCATATACCAGTATGAAAAATCATCAATACAGTTCAACAGTGTCAAGATATAGGGACAGAAAATATTGACATTTTAAAAGTACTGTTTTTTTTCGTTTTGTTATTATGGAAAGTCAAACATGACTATAGATGATGTTTTATGTAGGCATTTATGTATGATACTTAACCATACTCTACGAAGAATGGATGATTTTTGTAGGCATTTATGTAGGCATTCTTAAAACACGTTACTTTGCCTTAAAAACGTTACTTTATTGGACTTTAAAG